TCTTTGTCCGCAGGCACTTGGTAAGGTCTTGGCTGGGCTGCTTGAGGATGCAGCAGTGGTGGGTGCAGTGAGGCCTGCAGCATGGTCAGAGGCATGGCTGGGCACTGTCCCGTGGCACCTCTGTAAGGTCTTGTGCCCAACCCATGGGAGCTTTGGACCTTGCCTGGTGTGGCTGAGCTGTTCTAGGGGCTGCTCTGCGGTTTGGCCCTGATTTCATTCTTGCCAGAGCAGAAGTTCAGGCGGGAGCCCTGGGGTGATAGAGGTCTAAGCAAAACAGTATCAGCAGCTCTCAGTGGAGAGAAACCAGGGGTGTGTGGTCCCATGGGATGCCAAATGGCAGCTCTGGGGGTGCTGCTGTGCCTTGGCACTGCTGGGACAGAATGTCTTAAGGGATGAGCTCCCTCATGATTTTGGTAGATGGTTTAAACCTATGTTAGATGTAAAATTACCTGGTGCTCTCTCAAAGGTCACTACAGGTGCAGTTTGGGTTGATCACCCCCCTGCCCTTGGGCTCTCTATGCCTACGTGTTTGGGATGGGCTGGTGGCCACAGCTGGAGCTCCCAGTGATGGGAGCACACTGCTGGGTTCCTTGGCCCTGGAGGAACATTGGTGGGTTGGGGCTCTTTTGGAGGAGCAGTGACTGGGAGCTGAGGCTCTGGATGCTACTTTGGTGCTGCAGCACATTGTTGGGGCTCCTGTGGCATGGACCCTGGGGTGGGGGGTACAGGGAGAGTAAGGCAACACCATAGCTGCTCTGCGCCATGCAGGGTCTGTGCCTTCTGCTCTTTGGATCAGAGCTGGGAAGCTCTCCCCACACAGAGGAGCTGGCCTGGCAGATCTGTCCCTTCTCCCAGCTGGTGGTTGTGGAGCTGGGGGATCTTGATGCCACCAGAAAAAGAAAGGCTGAAATTTGGGGTGTTGGGGGGCTGCATCAGCAGCTGTGCCATGATGCAGCATCCCTGGGGGCGAGTGCACCCTGTGCCTGTGGCACTGCCAGCTCCTGCTGCCGGGACTGGGAGGGGACTGGAGCCGGATCCTGCAGCAGGAACCGACCACGCGCCGGCACGTACCATCGATCAGGCGCTGCCCTGTCTCTGGGTGCTCTTTGCCCCCTTGCTGTTTGCAGCAGACGTGGCAAGGGAAATGTGGATTTGGCAGATCATGCTGGCCTTGCAGTGCCCCTGCAAGTCCC